CTAAGATAGTATACTTAGGGTGTAAATGAGCTAAGCCGCTCGACCTCAGCTCGATAAGTGGTTTTTGAGCGAAGGAGCTCGATGAGTTAACAAGTCAAACTCAAATCAACTCTGACTCGACTCTTACTTGCAGCAAACTGTTTTAGAAAATTTTATTATAAAATATAATTAAAATTTATTAAATTTCAAACTTTTACATTTATTATATTAAATTATTTAAAAAATAAAATTTATATTTTATATTAATTAATTTTTTTATTATTTCTATTCAAATTGCTTATTTTATTTGTCATTTTATTATAACACTTGTTGAAATTAATATTATTTTTTCTTATTTAATTTGATAGGGGTATTAATGAAATTACATATTAACTTATATGAATCTGAAAAAAAAAGTCTTTTAATTTAACCAATAATTTTTTTTTAAATAAAAGAAAATCAATACCAATGTAAAAACCATAAGAACAAAAATAAAATGAATTCCACCATTAAACAAATAAATAAAAGAAAACAAAACCTCTTGTAAGACCAAGAAAAGGAGTCCGGCATTTCTCTTCCCCGAAGCTCTGAAAGCCATCTCTTAACATCTACATATATTCACATCATAACAACCTCATCAAAACCCCACAGAAACATACAATTAGCAAAACCAACCCTATCATATATAAAAATAGATATAAATAATTAATTTGCAAAAATAACCTCGTAGGTGAACCCCATTGTTGCTCGAATGATGAACACGAATTAGATGGGGCTGCTCAGTCTTTCCATTTCGGCTGAGGAAGTAAACTATATGAAGCTTCCTCATCTCCACTCCTCCTTCCCTTCTTCTATTAGCTTCCATCTCTTGATGGCAGGCCGGTCTTGCTTTCTCTCTTCTCTTTTTCCTGCTCTTCGATATCTGTCGTGTGTACTATAACGTTAATTTCTTTGTTTTTTTTTATGAGCTGTATGACTCAGTACAGAAGCTAGAAAAATAGTGTTATAGAGAGACGACTTTATGATTGATTCAGCCGTCGGCATTAATTCTCAACGGCCGGCTGTATGACTCAGTAAAGAAAGTAGAAAACACGAAGAGAAAAAACAAAAGATTAAGATGAGATTTGGTTGCAGGTATAGTTAGCTTTAGCCTTTTCAACTCTCCCTTTATAAGAATGGTAGATATACCTTGAGAATGAACGATTTCATGGACGAGTTGGGGAGCAGTAGCTTAGCCTTCGGAAGGGATCAAAGTGGAACCCTAATAGCCATGGTCCATGGACACGCTGTTATGCAGAGAGAGAGAGGGGGGAGAGAGAGAGAGAGAGA